CGGGGCCGGGGGCCAGGCTCACGCGGCGTCCTCTCCCCGCAGCTGCTGCCCCGGCGCACGGACTGGACCGGGAAGGAACACCCCAGGACCTACCAGAATCTGGTGAGACATTCACTGCGCCGAGCAAAGAAACTTTTCCCCGAGTCGAATAAAAATTGAATTTCCCGCAATTTTTTACAGAGACAAAAACTTGGCCCCGGAACGTGAAAGCGCCTAAGGCCTCGGGGAGTGTTGGGAGGGCGGCGCGGAGGGCGCAGGGTGTAGTGGTCGGGGGCCTTGCACCCGGGGGCCGCAGGGGCTGCCGACAATTTATTTGTGATATTTTGTTAATGTGCTAGAAATAAAGATACGTCATGAGTTGTGCACTGCAAGGCCGGAGGAGGAGGGGCCCGCGCGCGCATGGGCGGGCGGGAGCGCGCGCGCGCAGCGCGGGGACGCGCTCCCTGCTCGCTGAACGCGCGGCCGGCTCGCTCCCCGGCGCACACAATAGCTGGGGACTCGCTGCTCTGGAGTGGCCTTAGTGTTGCACAAGCTGCTGTGCGTCCGCAGCGGGACCGTGGCCACGCCGGGCTTTTAAAAAAATTCCCTCTCCCCGCGCTCGCCTTTCGTTTTCTTTTCATCTTAAATTCAGATCTGAGGGTTGTTGGGTTTTTTTTGTTGCACGGATTCGGAATGCATGATGGTAGTTGGTTAGCGGCGCACTTTTGCCCTGACAAAAGCATGCATCCACAGAGGTGGTAGGCCTGTAACGTCCTAAAATCAGGACTTAAGCAGGGTTTTGTAAACACTCACTTGTGTGCTTCTTGTTTAATGAAAAACGACTCTTGGAACCTACTGAGGAGTTTTGCTTTCTCACCCTACTTATTTACTGTGAGTTGCAACTTGGCAAGTAAAAGTTTTCTGTTTATACAGCGGTAGACAGCATTGACTTGAAATGTGACCGGTTTTGTTCATTTTGTGGGTTTCCAAAGGGAATATTACATTGATTTCTAAAAGTGGCCTTGTATCACAAGTTCTGTGAATGGAGAAAAGATAATTGGATTGGAGAGCTAGATTTGCATAAAGTTTGCACCTCCTAAACGGATCCAAGTTGTTTGTAGGAATTTGTATGTTGGGCAGTTGAGTTACCAGAACAAATAAAGTCGTGAAGTAGTGGTAGGTTTTTCTGTAATATTTGCAATTGCTCTTTTGAGGTAGTGGTAATGATGTCCACAGGGCTTCTGAAATGATTTAAACGTAAGCCAGTTTTGAATGAACTATTTCTGTAGGTTTGGACGCAGTATTTTTGCCAATCTTAGGATTTAAGTAGGTTATTTAAATAAGCAAGAATTTGTAAGCTTGTTAGATATTTAATAGTATATTTCTATGTTTTGGTAATGTTTACGTAGTGATGTAAGCTAGTTTTATTCAGTACTTGCCTACAATGAAAATTGAGTTTGAAGCACATTTAAAGATGCAAAAAATTGAATTTCTGAAATAATAGGTTTTAAAATACTTAACCATTTTCAGTGAGTTTGCATGTTTGTTTTGCCGTTTTGGGGGGGGAAAATCTAAGATTGTATTTTCAGCATGGAATTACTTTTTACAAAACCCATCTCTGTATTCTTAAAAGTCTAAATCACTAAGAATCAATGTGTTCTTTTGACTTGGGTATTTTTGGTAATTTATTTTTACTAATAAAGTTTTTATTTTATACCGGTTTACTTAACAAAGTTTGTACATTAGTTTTTCACCCTGGATCTTCCCCTTTTTTTACCCACCTCTCCCACTATCCATCAAATTGTGCAAACTTAATGATTAATCCCCTCATCCTAACCTTTCTGCTCTTGATATTTTTGTAAAAGTGAAACTCATAGTGATGTCTGACCAAATTTTGGATTAATTCCTGTTCCTAGTGGGAACATAAGTTTATGTTTTCTCCAGTGGTAATCAGTTTTGACTTTTGTAGATATATTTATTTATTGGACTTCTCACGTGTGAATAGGTAATTTTCATATTGGCGGTCTCATTCAGATTTAAGATAAAATCAACAGTGTTTTTTAATCAGTGTGTATTATTTATCAAAATCCACCTATTTGCTTAAAAGTGTTTTTTCTTGGAATGTTACTTTTTTACCAGAAAAATCATGCTGGCGTACTCAAGAGACAACTAAGAATTCTTATTCGAATCAAAAGTTCTTTGATTAATTTTCTATTCATTTAGCATATTGCCTACTCTTTAACAATTAAGGTGCTTTTATGTCTACTAAGTTATTAAGATTTTTTGATGTTTAGTTTATTATTGATTTACTGAGATTTAAACATTCAGAGCACATGCTTTCTGAGCATTTTGTTAAATGATAGATCTTGAAATTTTGTCTAAGTAATCATGTGTTAAGTCTTTTCTATTTTTTAATGTCTTAACTTTCTATGACTTTTTTTTACTTCGTCTTTTACCAACTTGATTTGGGGAGTATTTGGAGAATATGCAACAATACTTGTTTCTATCTGGAAAAGACGGGTTTTGCTACTTTAGTTGATAAATAATAGCAGAATTCAAGGATGATTGGATTTTCTGGAAACCTTGAAGTATAACAACATATAAGCAAATGTGTGCTTGTGTGTATCGATAAGACTTAAGAGTTAGTCTGTAGATAATATTGTGATGGTTGTGCTTTGACCAAAGGGAAAGTTTTAAAACTTTACAAATTTTTAAAATACCTTTATACAGTATTTAAAATGATTGATAATCTGAAGGCCAGGGTGTTTTTGCTTTTAGTATTTTAAGAACATGATAGGTTTTGTTATTTGATAGGTATAATACTTGATTTTTAGATATGTTTTAGCAGACTTTTTATTTGCAATTCAGGTTGAATTTTAAAGCAAAAGAGCACTTTACACACCTTTTTCTTAAATTGTAAGTGGAGGAAACAGTCAAACATTTTAAAAAAAATAGGAAAAAACTTACTAGATAAAGAGGAAAGTTTTGTTAATAATTTATTTGAAAGTAGTTTATTGGGTCTAACTTTCCATTTTTCACCTTAAGGAGTGGTGAATGCATATTTAGCAAGACCTTGAGGTTCAGACCTGCATAATAAATTTGGAAATCTTTGATTACATTTCTTTAAGACATTGAGGAATTCATGTTTCGCTAATCCTGTTTTAGAAATTTTTATTCTTCAGGTGCATGTGTTTTTATTAAAACTATTTTGCTTAATTAGAACTGTTTTCTATGCAAAGCCAGATGATTTGGAATCAGATGTGGGTCTTAGCCCTTGAGGAGAGTTAGCCTGCTTATAACCTTAAGAGTATTTCTGGGCCTTACTCATGAAATATGTAAAAATTCTCCTAAAACAAAGATCTGATTTTTAAACTACAGCTGTTGTTGTTATGTGCAGTCGAGTCGTTTGTGACTCATAGCGACCCTATGTACAACAGCCCTAAACCCTGCTCTATCCTGTGCCAATCGCATTGCCTCTGACACACCCATCCCGATTACCCCAGTCACTGAATCCACTTCATAGAGGGTCTTCCCCTCCTGCGCTGTCCCTCCACTCTGCCCAGCATGATGTCCCTCTCTAAAGACCTGTCTCTCCTTACAACATGTCCAAAGTATGTCAGGCGAAGCCCCACAATCCTTGCCTCCAAGGAGCAGCCTGGTTTAACACTCTCTAGGATGAATCTATTTGTTTTCTTGGCAGTCCATGGTACATTCAATACTCTTCTCCAGCACCACAGCTCAAAGGCGTCCATTCTCCTTCTGTCCTCCCTAGTCATTGTCCAACTCTCTGATGAGTAACAAGTGATTGCAAAAACCATGGCCTGTATCAGGCGCACCTTAGTCTCCAGAGAGACACTGTTGCTCTTGAGTACTTTAGAGAGGTCCCTAACCCTTTCCCATCGCAATACATTTTTTGATTTTCTGGCTACTGGTGCTAAGAGTGTTGACCGTGGAGCCAAGCAAACTGAAGCTGTGAATAATCTAGCAATGTAATATTTTTAAGAGGTCAATTTTCTTATTATCTTCTAAAAAAGTAAATCTGGAGACCCTGCCCATATTGTAGAATTCTGTCTTTTCTATGAAATTAGTATGCTTTCATATTACTGTGTTAACCACTGAGTTTTATTAAGTTGGTAGTTTCAAAATCATAAATGAATAAGAACCATGAATAGGATTTACTTAAGGATGTATCTTAGTCTTACATTTATTTGAAGTATACTGATATGATCTTCACAGTTAATATGCTGTGCTGGACAGCGGTTACGGATGATAGAAGGAGAATAGGTGTTTTTGAGTTGTCGTGCTGGAGAAGAGTATTGAATATACCATGGACTGCCAGGAGAACAAACAGGTTTGTCCTAGAGAGGGTGGAACTAGGTTGCTTCTTGGAGGCAAATGTTCTGAGGCTTCATTTGACATTGGACGTGTTGCAAGGAGGGACGCGTTGTCTTTGGAGAGGGACATCATGCTTGAGAGGGTGGAGGGACAGCCCAGGAGAGGAAGACCTTGGATGAGATGATAGACTCAGTGACTTGGTTATAGGGGTAGGTGTGTCAAAGATAGTAAGATTGGCTCAGCATAGAGCAGGGTTCAGAGCTGTTGTATATAGGGTCAGAGTGAGTCGCAACAATTGATTTGAAAGATAATATAGAACACATATAAAATAGGTTTTCAGAAAGTAACATTAAATATTTTTGAGCCAGTGAGGGCTGTTCTGTAGTAAAAATAATCTAAAGACTTAATTTGTGGGTGTGTGTTTTGGAGGGGTGTCCAATAGTGAAGTAAATGTATGTGATATATTTACCATTTTCTTTTTTTATTTGTGTACTTGTGATAGAGTAAGCTTTGGTTGTTCCGAAAACAGAATTTTAGTATCCACACAAAAACACGCACGTGCGTGCACATAAAGCCCAGGGAGCTTTGGTGGTCCCTGTGTAGGAGGTTGCACTGACAACCCAAAGGCACACAGTTGGAATCCACCAGCTGCTCCGTAGGAGAAAGATGGGCAGTGGTCGTCTGTGATTTACAAACTCTGGAAATCACAGCTATGAGTTGATTCTGACTCCATGGTGCACAAGAAGAACACAATTATTACATTGTTGAATGAAATATAATAATAGGTA